TGCTTGTGATAATCTGTATATTCGCTCTTGGATCGATAGCTAATGACCGTGACAGAGTCAAGTCTAGCTAGTGAGGATGTGAAGTGCCTCTATAAATACATGCCACTGTCATTATGTTTCAAGGGGAAATGTGTTATTACGGTGGCACAGAAGGAAATTGCTTGAAATATTGAGAGAATATGTTCCTTTTTGCATTTATTGGTTGGCCTTGCTTTGAACTCATGACATTGGTTGAGCTAATTTGGCTGTATTGGGATGTACAGGAAATGCCGCCACACTGTAGCCAATGAGGATGCGGTGGGGAACTGACCCTCCTCTATAGTCCTGCCCGTCTCAGTTGCTATTATAGCCCTATAAAGCTTTCCAGCACATTTCTGCTGTCACTAAACCTGTAGAAAATTAATCAGGATGAGTAAATTACCTTCGGGAATTATTGCATAATATCTGGATTAACTGGGTTTTAGATCCAGTAATTATATTTAGTGCTAAAAAGAAGCCAGAATTGTAATAATAGTAACTTTTCCATTATTAGTTATTAGGATAAATACTTTTCCTGGTAGTAAATTGTGTGATATGGTCACATACATTAGATGTTGCAAACTTTCCTTCTACTTCCTCTTGTTGTTATTGGTAGTAGTATAATTGTTATCACTTTTATTATGTTTCAGAGTGATCCGCCAATTCGTATTTCCATTTTTGGCGTGCTATCAACACGCATAATTGCTTTTCAGCGTGTTAATGAACGCCGTTGACTTAACGTTACGTTACTGTATATATAAATATATGACCTACCCCAATCCTGTCCCTAAACCTACCCGTCACTGGGGTTAATGGCATTTATGAGTCTTTCCCTACCATCCTAGGAAAAAAAAATATCGCTCCCCAGATGTAGATCTACATTTTGCTTCGTTTCGCTAGGACATTTAACGGCGTGTACATACAGGAATCACTCGGACATTTAACGCCGTAGGCATACACGCGGATAGCTCAAAATGCTTATAGATAACACACGCCACTTGACTTGAAAGTGGCATGTATGTTTACGCAAAAGTCATGATGTCATGTTGTATGTTTCATTATTTATTAATTACATTTCCATTAAAAAGTGCATATGACCAAAATATTTGAGAAGGTTGAGATATTCATTGTTAATTGTATCGTCTACTGCTAATGCTGGGTACCAGTGATGCGCGGGTTGATCCGAAATGAGCCTGTGCCTGCGGTCACCCGCGGTTACCCGCAGTTACGGGTCATCCAAAAATGTTTTTAATGATATTCGGGTCGCGGTCGGTCATGCCAATTAAACATTTGTATTTAGTACTAGACACAATTTTTGATGAAATATACAGCCCTACACATTATTGGTTGAATAACTGGCACGAAGATAACACACAAGCTCAGTCTAAACAGTTCTCGGTTCTTTAGGTGATTGGAGAACCGCTGTCCCTGTGCGTTCGGTTGTACGCAGTATCTATGCGCAGTATCAGCTGCTCGTGCTGATCACTTCTCTCAACAGTGGCACCAACATGTCTCGGTTCAGTGAACTGTTGGAGTTACTGGAGTAAAATATAATTCAGGATATTGATTTATTTCGATTCGTAGGCGACTGTCAGGCATGTCTGAAAGTGAGTAACTTTAGTAACTTGTGGATCAGCACTGACGCAAAACGCGAACTGTTTCGAACGATTCAGTTCGAGTGTACTGGTTCGATCGGTTCACTAAAAAGAACCGGTTCAAAAGAACGATTCGTTCACGAACCGGCCATGTCTATGATCGCTACAGTCTGCAGAGAGATGGAAAAGGTGAAGACTGGGGAGTGGAAGCTCCGCAAATACACAAATAGAAAGAGTAAAAGTGTGGGAGACATTTGCTGAAATAATGAAAGATGATGACCAAAGTGCTGGCTTTGCCTTTGTTATGTGTAGGCCTACGTCTTCTTGCGATGCTGTGTTGTTACACGTCTATATGGCCCAATAACGCTCCGATGAGCATTTAAAAAAACTCGGGTCGGGTACAATGTTTTTTTTTTTTTTACTTTTTTTGTGGTCCGAGTTGCGGGCGGGTAGCTGAAAACGTCGGTCGGTTGCGGGTTGTTTATACATTGACCCGCGCATCACTGGTACACACCTAAAGATAATTTGCTGATAATCGGGCTGATTTCGGGCCGATTTCCCCCCCTCCGACAATCCTAGGTATGTCCCGATTATCTTGATGGTTCTACAGATATCAGATTCTCCCTTGGTGTGAGGTGTGTTAAGAGTGTCCGAACCTGTTAAGAAGAACGTCGGAGCCGCCCCGATCACGAATCGTAAATATTCAACATGTTGAATATTTCAACGCATTCTCATCCAAGGGCGTCATATACTGACGCTTTCGCCAATGCGTATACATACAACGCACATGGCGGATAAATCTGTTGTCACTGGTGATTGTCGTTTTAACCTTTCTGCACTCTAAAAAATGCTGGGTTGTTTTAACCCAACTTTGGGTCAAATATGGACTAACCCAGCCGTTGGGTTAAATTTTTACATTACATTTTTAACCCAACATTTCGGGTTTGTCCATATTTGACCCAAAATTGGGTTAAAACAACCCAGCATTTTTTAGAGTGTGGATCCCCGTCAAATTGCTAAGTTTAATCATATCAAGTGCTGTGAGAAAAGGCTATACATCTCCACCTCCAGCATCCTCACACACACCTACTGGCCGAGACTCTTTTTATGTGTACAGATGTGACGTAATGACGCGAAGACATGCTCGGATCTCCAGCGGAACAATTATTATAACAGTTAAAAACATTATTACAAGCTTACCGTTTCGAATCAAGCTAAGGCAAGCAGAGCGTTTTGAACACTGGCTGGTTATTTACTCGCTCAACAATTTATTTTGGATCATTTTTAACCCAAAAAAGTTACAGACTGAAGCTTTAATGTTAAAGGAGTAGTTCACTTTAAAAAAAAAACGTTTGCTGATAATTTACTCACCCCCATGTCATCCAAGATGTCCATGTCTTTCTTTCTTCAGTCGAAAAGAAATTAAGGCTTTTGATGAAAACATTCCAGGATTTTCTCCATATAATGGACTTCAATGGGGTCCAAACGGTTCAAGGTCCAAAAGACAGTTTCAGTGCAAACTACAAACTGTTCAAAAGGCTTTAAACGATTCCAGACGATGAATAAGGGTCTTATCAAGAGAAACGATTACTCATTTAATAAAAAAAAAAAATAGTTTAAGTTTTATGAGCTCAAATGGTCGCCTTGCTCTGTTCTGTGATGCGCGTTTGTGACTCTCCTGTTCGAACTCGTTCATCAAACTGAACAAATCTTTTTCCTAGTCAACTCGTTCATTTCGTTCGTTGAATGAACCAAATGACACGAAAAAAGGTTTGTTCAGTTTGATGAACAGGAGAGTCACGAACGCTCATCACAGAACAGAGCAAGGCGACCATTTGAGCTTATAAAACTTAAACTTTGTTATATTTTTTTTTTAAATGAGCGATCGTTTCGCTTGATAAGACCCTTATTCGTCATCTGGTGTCGTTTAAAGCCCTCTGAACAGTTTGCACTGAAACTGTCTTTTGGACCTTGAACTGTTTGGTTCCCATTGAAGTCCATTATATGGAGAAAATCCTGGAATGTTTTCATCAAAAGCCTTAATTTCTTTTCGACTGAAGATAGAAAGACATGGACATCTTGGATGACATGCGGGTGAGTAAATTATCAGCAAAAGTTTTTTTTAAAAGTGAACTACTCCTTTAATTTCAACATTTACAAATATCATAAAAATCCTGCTAACATTGTAGTTGAACAAACAATGAACAGCTTTATTTTTATTAACAAAGATTAACAAATACAGTAACAAATGTATTGCTCATGTTTAGTTTATTTTAGTTAATAAATATTGTTAACTAATGCATCTTATTGTACCATATTCTGGGGTTCTCTAAGCTAAAATGCTGCATAAAATCGATGCAAAAATAACAATCTTAACAACTCACACTCAAATACACAGTGACAATGCAGGTCTTTCTTACAGTCTTTTGACCCTTTCAATCTCCCAGTCTCTGTAATAACATCTTGTAATATTACTCATGAAATGTGTTTGTTTACACTGACCTCACTCTGAGAACTGTAATCATATCTGTTCGTGTTACTGTATCTAATATCTTCTATACAAGAATCAAATGCACTTTATCAAAACAAACTGCAATGTATGTTGCTCTAGTCTAATATATCACAACATGCACTAAAGTTTTTTTCCTTTTCATCCCATGGAGAGCTACTAAAACCAGCAAAATTGGCTCTTTTTTATCCATCTCGCTGTAATCACATCAGTTTAGTCCGAATCTTCCTGAGAGCAGCGATTTTTTTTTAACGCAGTGTGATTTAATGGGCAGAGATGACCACTTAGTGTGTGTGTCGACCCCATTAAACAAGATCCGGGAAAATCAATGGAACCCAGAGTCAAAATATACCAGTAAATGTGTTTTTGTTATTTTATTAATATTCTGCTTCATGTTTCTGATCATCAAAACTGCAGCTATAACGAGAGTGGACCAACATCCATTATGCAAACAAAACTCAAATGCCAAAAACAAGTTAGAGCTTGTTGTTGTAGAACATAATATGATGATATCAAAACAGAGACGTAGGCTATCCCTGATCTATAGCTACTGATAAAATGTATTTCCTTACAACTATGGGATCAATCAAGGACAATCAAAATATACTATCATATATGACGTATCATACCTATATTAAAACTTCTCCTGTGCCATAAACATTCAAATCCATGAGATCTAAATGCGAAAAAGCACCAATAATTGTCTCACTCGTGATCGAGCCTATTCTATTCACGATATTATATTGCAGTGGCATCCTATATGCGCCAAAGTTGATCATATCACGAAAGCATCTCCAAAACGGGGCATGAAGTGCAGAAGCCCACAGCCCGAAACACGTTATCACACACGCACACGCAAAAACAGCGCTCACACTGACCCTTCTGCTGCTTGAAGGACTGTATGGATCCAGAATGATGCACCATGGTGATTCCCGATAGAGATCCTCGCGGGCAGAAGATGAAGGAAGGATACATGGGAAAGTATGGAGCGATCGCGTGGGTGTCTCTCCTCTGCGCAACCCAACACCTGTCTAGCCTCGCGCGCCACCATCCGGGGCTGTTGTCATGGTTACGGGCTGTAAGACGATGGATGGACGGACACCCTTCAGCGGCTCGATAGAAGAATGACCCGTGTTCTGGAGGACGTTTGTTACTCTGTTTTTAATTGGTGGACACAGGCACATGTGCGTCAGACTGACGGCTGGCTTTTATCGCGTCCGCCATAGCGTTGCGACTGTAAAGACGCGCTGTCAACTGTGTCGAGTTAAAAACATTTCAACTTTTAAAAACATATCCCCCATGCGTTCTGTTCTGGGGGTCGTGTCAATGACAAAACCAGTGCAGAAATGATCCTTTCCAACTATTTGCCCCGTGTTGTAAGAGAATTTCGTCCATAATTTGTAATTTGCCAAGGCGCAGTTTTCAGTAGTAGTGTGGTGGAAGCCTGGTTAATGTTTTTACGACAAAATACCACAGTTGCAGCAGTTATGCTGTGAAATCATATTATTGTATATGAACTACTATTTCAAATAGGGGAGAGCGGGGCATAACGTAACACTTTTTGACTTTGTTGATTTGTGTAAATCTACTTGGGGTTTAGAGAATTCCCCATCATTTACCACATGTCTAGTACAATTATGTGGTTTTGTTTTATTAATACAGTGTATACTTTTTCTTGATTTACCCTGACAGAATGGAAGTGAAATGTGACAACATGCCCCATGTTGGGGTACATTGAAACATGTGAGGGGCACATTGTAACATCACCATATAACCGCTTAAAATGCTATCTGATCTAATCAAAAAAATATACAAGTCAAACCAAAATATTTTGTTAATAAAATACAATTATTAACTTTTTCATATAGAAAATAATGCCATTTTTTTAATAATTAAAAATATGAAGAGTTCAGATGCAAAAGCCTCTAAATGCCATTTGAAATTTTCTTCTTTAATGATGATTTTTATCAAACTTGTATATTTAAGTTCAGTGATTTCACTTAAATTTTAATGATAATTACCTATTAATTGTTATTTAAGTGAAATTACTGAACTTAAATATACAAGTTTGATAAAAATCATCATTAAAGAAGAAAATTTCAAATGGCATTTAGAGGCTTTTGCATCTGAACTCTTCATATACAAATTTTTGAGTTTGTCAACAAATACACCGCAAAACAGCTTGTACAGTTCAAAACTATAAATAATAATTAATCATTTCTGAACATTGACTCTCAGTCTTTATTTACATGTTTCTATTGTTTTCTCAATAGAATTCATAAAAGTATAGAATATACTGGCATATTTCTAATAGGGGCACATTGTAACCCAGTGTGACAACATGCCCCAACTGCACAACTGGGGTTTAAACCCTGCTAGTGTCTTCTGCTAGTTAGAGAAGCATTAAAGAACTATATCAACTGTTAAACAACAGATTGGAGATTAAAATAATATCAGATTTGTCTAATTTTAAATAAACACAAAAAACTGAGATTAAAAATGAACTTAAGTAAGAAATGAACTTTTGCTGTGGTTAAATAATTGTTCAGGGATATCTTACAAAGATTTCTGAATTTTAACGCAATCTTTTCTCTATATAGTGTTGAAATGGCAACTAGTAAATACACCAAGTTTCGTCATGCTATGTTTGTAAGTATTTAAAACAAGTGTGTTACAACTAGCACAGCGTTACGTTGTGCCCCGCGCTTAGTGTAAGACTCTTGTGTTAAAAAACCAACAAAATGTACTCTCACTAAACATCTTTGATCAGAGCAAGAGTATTCTTGAAGATATTATTGGTTATTAACTACTTAAATTTGTGCTACTGTAATAAAATATTAGGCATTTGTTCCAGAAAATAAAATGTAAAAATGAAAAAAAAAAGTAAAATGAGCTTAAACAAAACAATTGCTATACATTTTGTCCAAACTTAATTTTGATTGTGTTCAATCTGCTTAAATATATGTAATATTTAAGTTTACTTAATCCATTTGTGTTGGATTACATGAATGATTTGTGTTGCGTTAACTGAAATACCAGGTGCTGCTTTTTAGTTAGTGGTGCTTGTTAGTTCCCAGCATGCTTTGCATATGGTTGAATTAAGAGAGAATACATGATAAAATTAAGTGTTATTTTAAGTGTAAAAATTTAGAAAAGGGGAAGACTTGGTTGTGCGTATTTGTGTTTAATGTTCAATTGCATTGAAATTATTAAACCATTTAAATTATTGAATTATTGAACCATTTAAACCATTTACAGTGGGTTGCCATTTTGGAGAAGAGTGGAGCATTTGGTTCGGCTGTCGACTGATTCTGCAACATTCCCAGCATTTGCTTTGGTGGATGAATCAAATATCATTTAAGATGCTAAAATGTGCAATTTAGTGTGACACTAAAATAAATTATTTTGCATTGGATGAATGAATATATGAATTTGAATACATGAATCGTCTTCATACTGGCCGACCTGCATATTTTTTGAAATTGTATAAAACCTAATAAATTCATTTAAAATCTCAACTTCCCATTTCAGGATCTACTTCAATTGTTCTGTTTCCTATGTGCATTAAAAGGTGAATTAAGGTCTATGCAGTGTTTAGACACTGATGATTTCATGCTCCAGTATGACGGTCAGTCCGGTCGGTCAGATTACAGTTGGTCTCAGTAAAAGGCATTAATTCATGCTGCTGCGATCACAAACCCCATGATCACCGTGAACACTGAAATATTATTGGGTCGTGTGATTCTGGGTCTAGTCAGTCAAACTGACATGCTCTTTCAGACCTCAGTGTGAGATCTTTGAGACACTGGCGGGACAGATGTGTTTCAGTACGCTGCAGTCTATTTAGTCCTGACTGAAATCTCACATATTTTTCTTCAACCCAACAGCGCCAGGAAAAAAAAAAGTATAAGAAATCAATATCCATTTAGGTTAGTGCTGACACCTCAAACGTGAGTGACAAATGACAGAGACATCTGCTGAAACCAGCGGAAAAGAATTAATCATAAAATAATTTGCGCACACACACAGAACGACAACAACATTTAGACTGAATATAAAGGATATCTGTGACACTGCACTGATGCATCCATTCATTAGCTCATTCCTCAACCTTTCACGCCAAGTATAAAACTACACCATATGACTAGGAGTGATGGGAGTGATATCTCATATTCTGCAGCTCGTTGAGGAGAGGTGATCTATTGTGGTCTATCCACCTATGAATGATAAAACGGACATTATAAACCAGACAGATCGACACTCGGGAGTTGCTACTATCTTGCAAACATCCATACACCCTAGAAATCTCAGAATACATTTCAATAGCAATGTTAACAACCCTAGAAGACTTTACAAAAACATAGGAACACATATATATACACACATAAATCATGCACCATTGCACTTACAACCCCTCAATTGCATTAGCATACCACCTATGAACACACTAGCAACACATAATAATGCTCTTAGTGACCATACAGCCACAATACCCAAGGCACTATGTGCTGACAACTAGTCAGAATACTGTACCTGACTAACTACACCGCGCCCTAGCCATCACTAGAACATCCAATCGGTTAATAACACATTAGCCCCAAGAAACCCATAGCTAATAATACACAGTGTACTTGTTTGAACACAAGTCAGTTAAGCAAAACCAAGCGTGCCGCGGCGCACAAGCCCTCAAAAGTGAAGCCAAAATGTCTCGATCGCCCCCCTGTGACCGGACCTAGTATAGCTCATAACCCCCGCCTCCCCATGTTATTCAATGGGACGGGAGACCAACTAAACAATTAAATTACACTTCACATATCCTTTTTCCAAAGATAGTTTCTGTCATTTATTGTAGTTTCTATCACGTTGATGTAATTTCAAGTGTTCGTTTTTAAAATAAGTTTTTAGTTAGTTATGTGATGATAAAATTACGGTGCTCTGACATCATGATTGACAGCTGTGATTGACAGGTTCTCTGTGCGAGGTAGTCACTAAAGCACCAGCGGACTTTTTTTTAATAATGTTGATTATGTGGTTAGTAGTTGTATTTACCTTATTTTAACGAGGCAGAACTGCAATCGGCAGACATCATTGGAGAAGAACGAAGCAGACAGAGGACACTTAATGAAAGTGCGGGGCGTCACGCTTGCGTTTGATTCAGCGAGAATGAGGGCGCGGCCTTGAGTTCGCGGCTTTACTTCCTGTTCACGACTGCGCATGACTGGTCCCGAAACACGCAAGTGCGCAGACTCAAGTTTCAAGATGTCAGCGTCATATCGTGACCGTGACACTGGCGGCTTCAGTTCAATCTGATGGAAAAGAGGGGCGTCGTCCATCTTTTTTTACAGTCTGTGAGCAAAACTAGTTGAGCACAAACCCCTTCTCCAACCCTCACCTTATACTATAGCATGTTAGTAGGACATCCTGAGAAATGGCATCCAGATTAACCACATAGCAATAACCCAGATAGCAAACTGACATTGAATCAATGTGGAAACGACGTCTCTCATGACATTGAAACAACGTTGATTTGCTCATCGAATTAACGTTGAACCAACGTCAGACGCGGCATTCTTCAAAGCTAAATGAAATCGAAAATTGGTTTGCTTTCATAACGTTGAAACAACGCGTTGATTTCAAGTTGATTTTCCGTTAGTTTTGAAAGAATGACGCGTCTGACGTTGGTTCAACGTTAATTCGATGAGCAAAACAATGTCAGATCAACGTTGTTTCGATGTCATATTTCCACGTTGATTCAATGTCAGTCTGCTATCTGGGTAAGGCCAAGTCCACACAAACCGGTGCGTTCCCTGTCCGATTTTTTTTTCCTCGTTCTAAAAAATAATCCGTAAACACGACATCGTCTCAAGAAATATCTGCATACACACGAAACCACATAGTGTAGTATATATGCCAGACCAGTATGGGGCGCTGTAATTCTGCCACAGAGATACACTATACACGGAGAAGAAGACTTTGAGCATGTGCATAACCTTGCGCGCTGTATACGAACCAAGAAGAAGAAGACGAAGATGGCGTGTAACGCAGCCGACACGTGATGTGATGACATCATCGTTTCACAAAATTGGCTGTACAAACGAAACCGCAAGGTTGTCGTTTTCAGATTTATCCACTTTAGGACCCGG